TAGGTACTCTGGGGACCAAAATCTTAATGAAATACAAGATCAGGTGTAGTAAAGAGTTAGTTACTGAGAGCTGGTAAGGATAGGTTTACAGTTTCAAAGATGGAGCAGTTTGGGGATAACAGGATTCAGCCTGTGTCCTGTGGGTTAGATGACTTAAGTAGATTGAAAGTAAAGATTGTGTTGAGGTTAAGGAACAGTGCCAGAATTTTGGACAGGTCGGTACATCTGGAACTAAAATCTAGTTCGTGTGTGTGTGTATATACATATATAATATACACATATCCTGAAGTGGTATTGCGAGATTGGCCACCAACCCCAAAAACGTTGCACTTTGTCATATTGCCCTCCAGTATTTTATCATTTGGTACTCCCATTCTGAGTGTTGTGTCTTCACACTTAACACCAAGGATTGTTCAACACTATCTATTCCAGTATGATGATGTTTTGGACTAACGATGTCTGACACTAAAATTTGTGAGTTTGGTTACTAACAAAGTTGAACCTTTTATTGACTGTACTTAAGAATTGTTGCCCTGTTATTTGTCCCATATTTCTCTTGACACAAGAAATATTTTCACCATTACTCTCTTCTTAATGTATTTGCATTTTTCCTTTTGGTATTTGTCTTATTTCTGTCTGAATTGAATGCTTAGTTAATTTTTCTTTGTTTAGTAATTAACACTTTTAATGTTAGTCTGTGATTACTTTTTTTTAGTCAAATCATACAGATATTGATGTCTGTAGAGTTCTCATTATTAGGTATTTAGTATTTTTGAATCACCATTTTTGGTTTCTTTGGAGAAAAATGATTGGAGGTGTTCTTGTTATTCTGCTTTTATTTTTTAAACTTAGAAGGGTTTTTGGGTTTCATTCCCTTTCTCCTTCTTTTGACATACAAAGCTAGAGGTAGGTTCGTTACTTCTGTGGGCTTATGAAAATATAGTGGAATAGTCTTTATGGCCTAAACTTTTAAAGTATGTATTCGATGGGTACGGGAAATAAAAATATAATTTCTGTTGGTTAGAAACTGTGTACATATCAATTAAGTCTAAATTGGCTACACATTCCTGGTCATCAGAAATGAAATTCCTGCTTATTTATTTTATTTCTCTTATTTTTTTGCTTCATATATTTCTTTATTTTGCCTTTCTCTTCACATATATCTATGCTACGTTAATTTACTCATTCAGCAAGTGTTAATTGAGCATTTGCTGTGTGCTACACTACTATGTACTGTTCTGAGAACTAGAATCACTCATAGTACCACATGTGGTCTGTAATTCGTTTGTAATTTTTTTTTTTTTAACCAAGCAACCACAGTTGCAAATATTGCATCTCTCTCTCCTTCTCTGAACAAAGAAGTATGGAAGAAAATTTATCATTCACCATAGAATGCCCTAACTGAGCTCTAGGCCATCGCTCATCTGACTTTGGGGAAGTCATTTAGCATATAAAGTAGCAGTTCTCAAGCAATCATCTCCTTGTTTTCAAGACCGTTGACACTTAAAATTAATTGAGGACCCCAAAATTACATTTATCAATGTACTTGTATTAACTATTAGAAATTAAGCAGAGGAATTTTTTAAATATTCATTTAAAGATAATAAATCTCTTAAAGGTTATAATTAATATATTTTTATGTGAAAAATTATTTTCCAAAACAAAAAACCGTTAAGACTGGCATTGTCTTACCTGTTTTGCTAAACTTGTTTTTAATGTTTATTTTAAGTTTATTTATTTTGAGAGAGAGCGTGCACAAACAGAGGAGAGGCAGAGAGAGGTGGAAACAGAGGATCTGAAGCAGGCTCTGTGCTGACAGCAGAGAGCCCAGTGTGGGGCTTGAACCCCATGAACCATGAGACCATGACCTGAGCTGAAGTCGGACACTTAACTGACTGAGCCACCCACACACCTCAAATGTTTATTTACTTTTGAGAGAGAAGAGTACGCACACGCAAGAGGCAAGGCGGGTAGGGGATACGATCCGAAGTGGGCTCTGCATTGACAGCAGAGAGCAAGATGCAGGGCTCAAACTCATGAATCATGAGATTCTGACCTGAGCAGAAGTTGGATGCTTAACCACCCATGCACCCCTTGTTTTGCAAAACTTTTTAATGTTTGGCTTAATAGAAAAAGATAGCTAAATTCTCATCCACTTCTGCACTCAGTCTTTTTTGAAATCTCATGTTTTGTAGCCTCTGGAAAATTAAAGTATAAACTTGTGAGAAAATGAGCGTGGAAAAGTCAAATAATATCTTTTGACCTTGCAGACCACCTGATAAGGTCTTAAGAACCTTATGGTTCCTTGACCACACCTAGAGAATCATTGCTCTAGGCCTTAGCATCTGTAGCAGTATAGGGTTTAATTAAATGGTCTTTAAAGTTTACTTTATCTTAGAAATTTGAATAGTATCTTTTATTTCACCACTCTTATCATGAAGTTCTAGCTGAATGTATAGGTAAAATGAGAACTGTCAACATAAATTATGGAACAAGGGACAACTGTTAGATTGGTGAATCTTTGTACTTTTTTTTTATTCTGAACCACATGTAACATAGAATTTACCATCTCATGGAATTTATATCCTGCGTTTACTGATTCTCTGAGTGCCTTTTTAAAAAGCTGTTACTTGTGGGGCATCTGGGTGGCTTTGTTGGTTAAGCATTTGACTTTTGGTCATGATATATGGGTTAAAGCCCTGCATCAGGCTCTGCACTGGCATTGCGGACCCCGCTTGAGTCTCATTCATAAATTTAAAATAATTTCTGAAAGGTATTACTTGTGTTCATTTAACCTTCGAAATTTGGAACAAGAGAAAATAGTGGAGTGAGGTCCTTTTTTCTTTTGGAAACTACACCATTGATTTTTATTTTCATTTATTTTTTTTAAAGGGATAGAGCATTTTTTTAATCTTTTTTTTAATGTTTTATTTATTTCTGAGAGAGAGAGGAAGACACAGAATCCGAAACAGGCTCCAGGCTCTGAGCTAGCTGTGAGCACAGAGCCCGACGTGGGGCTCAAACCCACAAACCGCGAGATCATGACCTGAGCCGAACTCGGATGCATAACCGACTGAGCCACCCAGGCGCCCCATTGATTTTTAATTATACAAAGGAGCCTTCTCTTTATATCTCTATCAGACGGTTTTTCACCTAAAGCTTAGAACTATCAACTTAGACAATTTTCAGAAGTATTCTGGGAAATTGAAGATAATGGAATCTTCCCCCCTTGATTCATGTATCTTTAAAGTAATGAAAGTAGTACTCTCACTGTGTATCCCTATCAGGCAGTCTTTCACCTAAAGCTCAGAACTATCAACTTAGACAAATTTTAGAAGTATTCTGGGAAATAGAAGGAATGGAATTTTCCCACTTGATTCTTGTGCCTTTAAAGTAATGAGGGGCGCCTGGGTGTCTCAGTCGGTTAAGCATCTGACTTCGGCTCAGGTCATGATCTCACGGTTCATAGGTTCGAGCCCCACGTTGGGCTCTGTGCTGACAGCTAGCTCAGAGCCTGGATCCTGCTTCAGATTCTCTCTCTCTCTCTCTCTCTCTCTCTCTCTCCCTCCCCTCCCCCCCCAGAAATCAGTAGAACATTAAAAAAAATAATAAAAGTAATGAAACTAGTTCCATTATATCTTCTTGCCTTTTTTCCTCCTGTCATGCTTTCTGATTAGTTAGTTTCAGAAATTAGACTCATGTTCAGAATACCTCATAATGAGCCTACTGTCATGTAATTTTACAAGTTAGAGAGCATAAAGTTCATCTGTTACAGTACCTCTCACTTTATAGGTGAGACAGATACTGCGAGAAACCGAGCTACTTGTTTAAGATCATTTAAGCGGTCCAGTGGTTCTGGCCAAGGCTGAACTTTGGAGCCACCTGTAAAGCTTTTAAAAAATATAGGTGTTTAGGCACCATCTCTAGAAATTATGTTTTAATTGATCCTTACAAAACCCCTTCAGATGATTATGATGAAACATAATCCCACTTTTAAAGTGAATCATTTGCATCGGGGTCTGTGATGAGAGCCTGGAGGCTGCTTCAGATTCTGTCTCCCTCTCTCTCTGCCCCTCCCCTACTCACATTCTGTCTGTCTCTCTCTCAAAAATAAACATTTAAAAAATTTTTAAATAAAGTGAATCATGTGCCTTTTTTTTTTCTTTTAAGTTTATTTATTTTTGAGAGAGAGTGACAGAGCACAGTGGTGGGGGCCGGCGTGGGGGGCCGGTTGCAGAGAGAGAATCCCAAGCAGGCTCTCCATGAGACCATGACCTGAGCTGAAATCAAGACTTGCACGCTTAACCAACTAAGACACCCAGGCACCCGTGAATCATTTGCACATTCATGTTTAACTTTTATTTTTACTGTAGATGTGACTATTTTTTTTCTTAAACCTTTTAGATTAGAGAGTTTTTCTTTTTTACTCTGTGGGAAATAAGCCCATAAACTTTATAATGAGAATCAAGACTTCTGATGTTGCAGTTTTTATTTTGAAGAGATTTATCAAGTCAACTGGTAAAAGTTTTTTCTTTTAATCTTTGTATGTATAGCAGCTGGTGGTAAAGTTTATACCTATACCTAATGATATGCATTAAGAATGTCTTTTTTAGGGGCGCCTGGGTGGCTTAGTCGGTTAAGCGTCCGGCTTTCGCTTAGGTCATGATCTTGCGGTTCGTGGGTTCGAGCCCCGCGTCGGGCTCTGTGCTGACTGCCAGCTCAGAGCCTGGAGCCTGTTTCAGAGTCTGTGTCTCCCTCTCTCTCTGACCCTCCCCTGCTCAGGCTGTCTCTCTCTCTCTCTCCTAGAAATAAATAAAAATATTTAAAAAAAAAAAAAAAAGAATGTCTTTTTTAATATAATGTTGTGAAAGCTGATCTTTAAGTTTTTGCAAGTATTAATGATTAATATATGTATAAAAATTTTACCTTGCATTATCCAGACTTTGGATAGTCATTTGTTGTTTAGACGTGTTAGAAAAAAATGTTTATTTTTCCTTTAGGTGAAGGCACTGAAAGAGAAGATTGAATCTGAAAAAGGGAAAGATGCCTTTCCTGTAGCAGGTCAAAAATTAATTTATGCAGGTATGAATTAAGTACTGAAAGTAATATGTTATCTTTGGATTGTGTATACAAATTTCTGTCAAACATATATACAGTGTTTGTGTTTGATATCTTTTAATCAAATGTTAGTACCTTTTTACCTGTTAAATTTCCAATTATATTTGTCTTTATCTTGGCTGATCAGTTCATGTTTTTCTTTGGAGAAAGTATTAATTGATAGAATTGACATTGGTAATTGTTTTAACTTTAGTTATATGTAAGAAAAAGGTTATGGGGATTCAAATAATGTGTTCTTTTTTTTTAATGTACTAGGCAAAATCCTCAATGATGATACTGCTCTAAAAGAATATAAAATTGATGAAAAAAACTTTGTGGTGGTTATGGTGACAAAAGTAAGTTTTAGCCTCGTTCTGTATATTTTTATGCATGTGAAGTTTTTAAAAAAAATAAAAATCCCAAGACCAGTCTTTATAAGTGAATACAGTTTATGCACATCCATAGTGGCAGACACTTACCTGTTTTTTTAAAGATTTTAAATCTACTTTGTATGAACCATACGATTAAAATAATTTTATACATTTATAGCTTAAACGTTTTTAAATAAATTAAAACAGTTGATAAAATTGCTAGATTTTGCTGGATAGGAAAATCTCTATGTAATTATTTAAAAGTGTGATTGTTAGAAATAGAATAAATATTTATTTCGTAGTTTTAGTAGTAGTAAGGGTGCCTTAAAGGGACTTGCTAAATTATGTTCTAGATCTGATAGACTCAGGCAGAAAAGGCAGGTAGACTCTTCAGTGCAGTCATATTTCTTAGTTGATGGGGTAGATTTTAAGAAACTAAGAAAGGAAAAGGCAATTAAAGAAATGAAGGAATGATTGTTGTGAGAAAGTAAGGGAATTTTTTGTGACTTATTGGACTGAAATAGATTTGGGACAGTTTATAAAAGTCAGTTTTTCTTTAAAAGAGAATGAATATGTGTTCTTTCAGAGATTCTGTTATATTTTTATTTAAAGATGCATAAGCATGCAGTGGAGAGTTAGAGAAGTGGTGTACTCGTGACATGAATTTTTAGGATTGAATTGTCATAATCTGAGAACAGTGATACTTGTAACCCTGAAAATAGGTTTAGGTAAGTAATTGGAAACCGATTTATTAAAGACTAAAAGTAGAATAAATGCGATGATTTTTTTTTTAAGTTTAATATATGTAGTAGAAATATGTGAGTTGAGCAGGTAAACTTTATTAATTTATTTTAATTTTAAAATTTTATTTAAATCCAAATTAGTTGGCATAGAGTGTAATAACGATTTCAGGAGTAAAATTTAGCGATTCATCACATACATATAATACACATTGTTCATCTCAACAAATGCCTTCCTAATGCCCATCACCCATTTAGCCCTTCCCCATACCCAGCACCCTTCCAGCAACCCTCAGTTTGTTTCCTGTATTTAAGAGTCAAAGGAGGGGCACCTGGGTGGCTCAGTCAGTTAAGCATCCAACTTTGGCCCAGTTCATGATCTCGAGGTTTCTGAGTTTGAGCCCCGCTTTGGGCTCTGTGCTGACAGCTCAGAACCTGAATCCTTCTTTGGAATCTTGGCCTCCCTGCCTGCCTGCCTGCCTCTCTCTCTCTCTCTCTCTCTCTCTCTCTCAAAAATAAATAAACATTAAAAAAATCTCTTATAGTGAGCAAGTAAATTTTAATTACTACATATTTTTGTCCTAAGAAAAAACAGCTAAACAGTTGACATGTGTTGGACTTTAAAACTTATAATCCATTAAGAACCATTGTGATTTTGCTGTGTTAAAGCACTTACTCATTAAGTGTTAAACTTCACATTATGAAGAACAGAATCATGGGGAAATTTTGTTTCAACTAAATATTTTTTAATTGTGATAAAATATACATAACACAAAATTTACCAGTGTAACCATTTTTAATTGTACAGTTCAGTGGTATTAAGTATGTTCACATTGTTGTATAACCATCTACAGAACTCTGTACCCACTAAATAGTAACTCTTCATTCTGCCCCTCTCCCCAGGCCCTGGTAACCACCGTTGTACTTTCCATGAATTGAACTTCTCTACATATCTCATATAAATGGAATCATAGAGTATTTTCCTTGTGTGACTGGCTTATTTCCCTTAGCATAGTATCTTCCAGGTTCAGCCATGTTACGGCATGTGCCAGAATTTCCATCCTTTTAGAGCTGAATAATATTCCATTGTCTCATCTAGTTATAGATAGTATGTAATGCAAAATGTGGTATCTGCATATTTGCAGATTTGTTTTTGTATTTGTTTGGGGTCTTATTTTCTTTAGTATTGTAATCTTGACTGTTTAGAACAGTTAATCCCTTATAACTAAGGATTAACTAAATCTCAGAATAGATGGATGAGTTTGATGAATAGCTACTTAGAGCCAAGCTTTTTCTTATTTTACATAGGATTCTAATGATATTTGTAGTTATTTTGTTTTTAATAATAGAGGCCATCTATTGGAAGGGGAAGAATTAGGCATTATAGAGGCAAAGAGAAAGGACCTTATTAAAAAGAGCCAGGATAAAATTTATTTAGACCAAAAGTAAGCATCAAAACCTCAAAAAGCAGATGGGTTTGCTACCATTTAGAATGAGGCTTAAATAGCACTGTAGCAACAGAGACCTTGAGAGGGCATGGAATGTTACATTGTTATATCAATCACAAATAATCTGAAGGGAAATAGTAAATGAGTGTAATACATTTAAATTACATTTTAATCTAGATTGGGGTTTTAGAATATTAATAGTTTGCAGAGTGTTATATTGCCAGTTTAAAAAGTTATAGGGCTAAACACAAGACTCTTTAAGAGGGAGTGAATGCTCCTAGTATTTTTTTTTTCTGTCCCCTGTCCCACCTTGCGCAGTCAGTCGTTTCAGTGCATGCTGAACTAGCTCAACTCAAACAAGAAAGTTATTTTGGTGATGCTTTTAAATGACAAATGCTTTAAAGTTATAACCATGGAACTTAAACTGTGAAGTTTGGTGAGGAGTAATTAAATGGTTCTCTTTTTTTAGTAACACATTTTTTATATTTCTGAATAGTGGCTTCTATTGGTTCTTTTTTGTAGTGACTTGATAACAAACTGTTAGCTGAAAGCTAATTAAGGTTGTTAATATAGATGCTGTCATCAGCTTTGAAAGAGTAACACAGTGATTCAGATTGCTAATACTGATCGTTATTATGTTACTGTTACTTTACAAAATTATTTTCAGGTTTCAAGTTTGTAATAGTATTATGTTTATAGCCTCTTGTAACAATACTCTACTTACAGACCAGGCAATAATATTATCATCATGATTCATTATTCTACTTTTCTAATGTGTTTAGCCCAAAGCAGTGACAACGCCAGCACCAGCTACAACGCAGCAGTCCAGCCCTGCCACCACTACCACAGTTAGCTCCTCCACAGCTCCAGCTGCCGTCCAGGTCCCAGCCCCTGCTCCTGCTGTGGCTCCTGCTCCTACCCCTGCATCCATCACTCCAGCATCGACGACGGCATCTTCTGAACCTGCGCCTGCTAGTGCAACGAAACAAGAGAAACCTGCAGAAAAGCCAGCAGAAACACCAGTGGCTACTAGTCCAACATCAACTGACAGGTAAGAACTGTATTCTAGGAAATTGTATCCCAAAATGTGTTCATATTAAGAACTTCACACACATAGGGGCTCCTGGGTGGCTAGGTCAGTTAAGCGTCTGACTTTGGCTCAGGTCACGATCTCATAGTTCGTGAGTTCAAGCCCCATGTCAGGCTCTGTGCTGACAGCTCAGAGCCTGGAGCCTGCTTCAGATTCTGTGTCTTCCTCTCTCTCTGCCCCTTCCTGCTTGTGCTCTCTCTTCTCTCTCTCTCGAAAATGAATATGAATAAACATTAAAAAAAATCATGCATGTATTTGTTTTGATTATTGTGTTGATCATACTTTGTTTCTACACATTAAACTCACACTAAAACTGATTTTTGTGGGGCGCCTGGGTGGCTTAGTCGGTTAAGCGTCTGACTTTTGCTTAGGTCATGATCTCGCGATTCGTGGGTTCGAGCCCCGCGTCGGGCTCTATGCTGACTGCCAGCTCAGAGCCTGGAGCCTGTTTCAGTCTGTGACTCCCTCTCTCTCTGACCCTCCCCTGCTTACGCTGTCTCTCTCTCTCTCTCTCTCCTAGAAATAAATAAAACATTAAAAAAAAACAACTGATTTTTGTGCCTGTTTAACAATTTTCATAATCCCAGTTTTGTGTACTTCATTTTCCCCCCCGGGGGAAGGGAGAACTGCCAGAGTCATTCTTCATTTTGTGTAGAAAAATTAGGAAATACAAATACCCCTCCAAAAAATTCTAACAATTACTTGATACTTTGTTATAGTTTGACATGTTACAAATACCTTGACACTGCCCTGACTCATTTTTTATATTGATTTTTTTTCCCTGCTCATTTGTCATTTCTATTGTAAACATCTTCCATTCCACTAAATACTTCCATTTGCTGCATAGCATTGTGTTTGGATCTGAAATTTGTTCATGCTTAACCTTAGAAAAGTAACATCTTTGGGTATTTTCCTCATCTGTAAATGTATGGATGACAAAGACACTATCTCCTAGAGTTGTTATAAGGAATAAATGAAATAATGAATATAAAAGGTGTAAAATAACACATGGTATGCAGCACTAAGTATCAGCTCTTGTGGGTAGTTCACCAACCACCTTTTGTTGAACATATGGATTGTTTCATTTTTCCACTGTTTTATCTGTTTCTGTGGACTTTTGTAGAAATTTAAGTTTTGCCTGTGTAGATCTTTAAAACAAAAGAAAAAGTGCTGAGATATATGAGGAGCAAGAAATAATTTCTTCTAAGAAGTTAGCAAGATTGCTAAGTAATTTATGAGTAAAGATTTTTCCCCCAATGTCAAACAAAAGAACCAAAGCAAGTGCTTTAGTTCTCTTGGCTGGAGCTTGCATGGAGAATTCCTGCTTTATCTGAGAGCATGGATTGTATTAAATCCAGCATGCATTGGCACTGGAGCTGTTTGTGTTTTGTGACTTTAGTACAGCTTGGGACCTCAGTGGCAATAGAGTCCTTGGAATCAAAACCAGACAGAATGGAGATCTATACAGGAATTGGAAACATGTACTGGAAAGGAAGCATGTTTGTGATAAATACAACAATGATCAGGAAAAAAAATAGTTTTTATTTTAGCGTTTTACCTTTATGTTTGATTTCTGTGTCTGATCCAAGTCAACCATGTTTGGAGGGATTTGAGTCATCTGGTTCATTGCTCACTTTAGGCCTGTTGTCAAGGAATTAAATATTTCCTGTATGCCTGCCTGCCTCACTTTGCCTTAGTTTAGGCATTCTGAGACACTGTCGCCTAACTGGATGCTTCTCCCATGTACATTTAGAAATGCATTCAACACTCTTACCTAGTAGGAGACAACCAGACTCAGGTTAAGCTGTTCTATCAAAAGGTTGTTGGTCCATTCCATGTAGAGGAGGGGGAAGTTAACAAATTTAACACATTGGTTTCCAGATTATTTAAACATTGTGAATGTAATTAAATATATCTTTATTCAGTACAGTATAGCCTGTTTTCTTACATGTTTTTAGCTCTTTGAAAAGCTCATAGTGAGAATTTCATAACTGATTGGTATGATCTCTTTTTAAAATTTCCTGGAGGTACAGTTTGATGTACCCATTCTCAGGATTCAGGATTACCTTTTCAGACCTACAGAGGTTGCGTAAATCAGTAGATGATCAGTGATCCAGAGAGCAGATGCTAGAGCTACTTACTTGGTTGGGCTTTGTATGCCAACTGTTAATCTTATTTCCCCAGATTATCACCTTAGAGAAGGATAACAGAAGGATGAGAGAAGCTCAGAAAACTGGCTGCTTAAATGTGCCTTAGTCCTTTCATCTGCTGTAAAACATTTAGTGTCCTATAAAGCACAAAACTTAGATAATTATTAGGAAATACACTGGTATCTATTTGAGGGACATCAGAAAGTTTATTCATCACCCCTGGCCTCACATTTCATTATTAGTCATTTGTGTCTTTAGGCCAGTTTTGTTCTTTAAAAACTACCAATTACAATGCAAATTCTATTTGTAGATATCTACCTTAGAGAAACTGTCTGTGTGCACAAAGACTGTTAATTTGTAAGTAAAGACAAATTGGAACCAACCTAAATACCCCTTAATAAGAGAATGACTTGACCTGTAATTTATTCATATTAAAGAGCAGTGCTGCTCAGTAGGCAGCATCAGCATCACTGGGAGTTTGTTTGAAATTAAAGCCTTGACCTAAATCTGAATTCTCTGGGGGCAGATCCTAGAAATCTGTATTTTAACAAGCTCTCCCAGTGAATTTTTAGGCTTCCCAAAGCTTGAGAAGCCCTAATATACAATACTACAGGCCAGTTAAAGTATGTAGTATATATGCATATTGAGTGAATGTGGTTTCAAGGCTTTGTTATCAAGTGAGAAAAACAGATTACAAAACAGTATGGGCAGTAACCATCACCAAAGAAAAGCCACAAAACATCATATATTTTTTGGGTATGTGTAGTAATGTGTAGAAAAACAGTAACAAAGGAACAGCACACTAATTGATAAGCAGTTTCCTCTGCAGATGGGGAAGGAGAAGCAGGGAGGTAGAGTCAAGGTTGAAGAATGGCAGTCCGATCTCACCTCAGTCTGGTCTGTGATGTGAAAAAGGAAATTTTAAAGCAGTGTGCAAAACAGCACAAACTGTTCTGTAAAAGAACTGTAGGAAAGTACACTAGTCCTACCATGTAGTAAAATGTACTCTACGTGGTAACAATTCCAACAGTTTAGAGTGGCTCTTTCTAGAAAGATGGCTCATTTAAATAGATAGTATTCTAGAAACAGACCAGAATACATACCAGGGACTTCATGTAAATTAAAGTTGTGATTTCAGACCACTGTGAGGAAAATGCTGTTGGGGTTAAGGTCTAGCCAAATGGAAGGGGAGAGATGGATCACTCTAGATAGATAAAGTGAAACCACAAACAAGAGAATAGGGAGAAATGAAAATCTTAATCAAAAAAGTTATAAAAGCAGCAATTGATTAATTTCACCATAGAATTTAAAAGTTGAAAACCAAACTTTAGTAATAGCTTAATTTGGCCAATTAAATGGAATGCTATGCGTTTCAGGAAAAATTGAGATAGTTGTAGTTAATGCTGACGTGAGATAATTAAGTTAAATGAAACACCTCCAAAAGTAAGACCCAACTCATTGTTACACAGAAACAGGTTACACAGAAACAGGTAGTGGTGGTTGTTCCCCAGGTTGGGGTCTTGGGCAGGAGAATTACTTTTCCTGCATATATATATTCTTTCCAAAGCTTTTTCCTTCGGTACATGTTAGCCTTACTATCTATAATGAAGACACTTTAAAATTATACCAGACAAGTAGTTTAATCATAATAATCATATTGGACGCTATGATGCCAGGCACTTTGCTAAACACTTTACCGGCAGTAACCCTACATACCTACTACATACATACAACTTTGGGATACATGGATATTATTGCTGACCCCATTGTATTGATGAGGAAACTGAGGCTTAGAAAATAATTTATGAATTCAAACTTAGATATTCTCCTTGCTCTTGCTATGCTACAGTATTTTCTCAGATCTGAAGTCTACTGGGTTTTATTTTTTAAATTGGGAATAAGTGTATTGTGTTGTATGTACAAAACTGCTAACGGCTCCCTTTACTACTGTTGTAAACTTGAATTTATTTTTCTTTGGCCTGCTCTTCCTGGTCGTTCATAATTTTTTTTTTGTCTACCTTGTTTTCCAGACTCCTCTTCTGCAATTGCCTAACAGAAACTTAGTCCTTTTAAACTGGTTTACTTTCGGTTACAATGTGGATTTTGTCACACCTCTCCATTTCTTGCTTATGCTGTGTTCCTTGACTTGAATGCCTTCTTTCAGTTTCTGTGTTCAAAACTTACCTATAAGATCTAACTGAAATTCTGTTCTGTAAAGAGTTCCCAGGCCTTTCCAGCCTAATGTGGTTTCTGCTTTGGCTATTTACCATGTACAGGTTTTCCCCCGCTATTTGAAAGTAGAGAGTTCCTATGAAACCTTTTGTAAAAGCAGAAATAGCATAAAGCAAAGAAGCAATTACCATTAATATGGAAAAAGTTTTGATCAGACCCAAAAAATAACCTCCGTGGCTTTTCTGATACCTTAGGACACACCTTGCTAGTGGTGCACACAGGAAGATCCAATAAAGCACAGATGCACACAGACGCAGTTCAGAGTCAATAGTGGCTTGATCCCAAGATGCTGGGTCTAGTTCCATTTGAAGGAGCTTGGCGGGGCCACTTGCTTTTCTGGGTGTACACCTCTATAAAGGCTTGCTGCAAAGCAAATGACACTGTTTTCACTTACCTTGTAAAAGAAAGAAATCCTCTTTGGAGAAGTGGCAGAATGTGAACTTTGGGAAAGTGGGGGATACTTGAATCGTTTGGTATTTCTTCCACTGTGGCTTGTCTTACTTAACTTCTCATGTAAATTATTTCAGGGAAATGGTTGTGCATTATCTGTTTTGTATTCCTTAAGTAGTAAGCAATCTGGTTGTTATTTTACATCTTTGGACATTTAAAATGATGCATTTGCAGCAGAGTGAGTATTAAGATTGGAAATGTTATGGATAAAGCTTTAGGGATTAATTTAGAGACAGTGTAGCTAGACTTTTACATTTAATTAAAATCAATCTCTTTACATATTGGACAGTTACTAAACTTTAAGTTTTATATACTTTCTGAAGTATGATTTTTTAAAAACCTTTTGCAGTACGTCAGGAGACTCTTCTCGGTCAAATCTTTTTGAAGATGCGACAAGTGCACTTGGTAAGTGTCTCCGTTGTAAATAACCTTATCAGAGGGATCATTTTTCTAGGTCGTGTGTTCATCTTCATGGTTACTTATGATCAAGTTGCTAAATGGTTTAGATCATTGTTCAGTTAACGTTTCTAAAGACTTTGTAAGTTAATGTGTTATTGAATCTTTTAAATTGTACTGCTGTTATTAGAGTTAAGTATGTTCTTTTAATTAAAGCAGATAATTTTCCAAATGTGAATTTTAAACATGGTCTTAACAGAGTTTGAACTGTGTACAGGTTTATTACAAAATGTTTTTGAAACTGGTACCGAATGTTACTAAATCTGTCTCATATCTCATTCTCCTCCACCCTTTATTCCAGTTTGTAACCCTGGAGGGTCCCACCTGTATCTCACTGCTTATGTTGTACTTTCAGTGAACATACCTTTCTATCTCAACTTTTTTTTTTTTTTTAAGTTTATTTATTTTGAATGAGAGAGAGTGGGGAAGGGGCAGGGAGAGACAGGGAGAGAGAAAATTCCAAGCAGGCTCTGAGCTCTGTCTCATAAATCATGACATCATGACCTGAGCCAGAATCAAGAGTTGGCTGCCTAATCAACTGAGCCACCCAGGTGCCCCATCCCAATTTTAAATTTAACTGTTTTGGATAACTCTTTTTCATCTCCCCTTCACACTGTCAAAATCAGTTTTGTTTTTTGCCTGTTTTTCCATTATAACACTTCTGGTGCCTTTGCTACTGTGCCTGCTGATTATTGGTCTATTGGCTGGGCACCTCATTCCTCCCCTTTGGTACTATTCTGTTATTGGAAATGGTAGGGAGGTAGAAGACTGGGAACAGGTGGGAACAACAGCTTCAATCATGTGGGCTTCTAGATTCTTTGCTCAGTTAGTTGCTGCAGAAGCAGGATTCCAACAGCAGTATCACCTCATGAGATCTTGGGTGGCTTCTGACCTAATTGGACTAAAATTCCATGATCCTCTCGTTGCAATGGAAATGGCATCTTGGCTGCCCATAGCATGTAGGGGCAAAGTGTTATAGATAATCAACCTAATTAAGGTCACTGCATGTACCACACCCACATCTTTACTGTTGTCTGGGACTGCTCTGCTGCCAAAAAAAAGTATAAGTTAGTATTCAAACAGGGAGATGCTTAATCCTAGGAAGTCCTTACAGAGATACTGAAAGGACTAGAGGAGATGACCCAGAAACTGGTGATGTGCTCTCCACCCGCAGAGCTGGAGCCGACTGTCACTTGCCCCTGGTACTGCTGAACTGTCTGGCTACCCCCACTGCTGCCTTAGTTGGAAAGCATGGTGCTGACAAGCTCTAGCTGCTGCTACTACGCCTACACCTCTGAAGGCGATGTCTTATGTTTATGTCTTCTGTCAACCTGTACAACTTAGGTCATGGGACCCCTTTACTCTTTAATTTACCCAGTCTTTATGTAGATACCCTGCTCCTTTAACTTTTCTTTTATGGCTTGTGACACTACTCTTTTCTTGATCCATGCATCTGACTATTCCTTTTCAGGCTTTCTAGTTAATTCTTTTTGTTTTACCTGACCCTTAAATATATGGATTTTCTGCAGTTCTGCTCTAGACCACAGTTCAAAGTTCAAACTGGAAATGGCAGATACCACCCATATACTATAATGATTCCCAAAATTATAACCCCAGTACACATCTCCCTCTGAGCCTCCAGATTCAGATGTGAACTGAATCATTCTTTACACTGTCAACAGGGAAACTATAACCTCCATAAACTCTTTAGGTTCCAAACAGGGTCCTGTTTTATTCTCCCATCCAGTTCTTATCCTTTGTTCCTCATTGCTTGCACCATCATCTCTACCAAACGTCGGCATTGTCCTTGATCTCCCTGCCTCTCTTGGCCTCTTGAGCCCAGGGTACTGACAATCCTTCTTTCTAATGTCTCTGGAGTACTTGTTTCCAAGGCACGTGACTGCCTTAATTCACATCCTTACCTCACTAATACTCCTGCATTATTCTCTCCTACTTGTCAGTGCTCTGTTGTAGGGGACTTTATAAAAGGCTGATCTAATGCGGTTATTGTTCCCTTTGTAGTTTCTTGTGACCTGGAAGATAAGAATCTTTAATGACACATAATGGTTCTTCATCACTACTACTTTTAGTCTCATTAGCTCTCTCTCTTGTTTTGTCCATTGTCCCTAGTTTTCCTATGAGTAGCAAACTGCTTATAAGCATTTATTTTTGTTGTTTTATAACTTGATTAATTAGGAGGCCTGATTTTAGGAGGTGTGGCATGCTGACTTGGTTTGGGGGCTCTGGAGTGTGACAGCCTGTGTTGGTCTCTGCACCATGACTTAACCAGCCATTGATGCCATGATCAAAATAAACCATTCTCATGGAGTTATCGTGAGATAAGTGAGAAACACCATGTTAAAATAGTGTAGTTCAGGTACCCAACAGCTCTTAATTTCTTTTATCTTGATGCTAATTTCTGAATCTGGGAACTAGATTACTCAAAGTATATTGGCACTTGAGTGGCTTTGTGCTAGAAGTATATGAATAGGTAATTAAGAAAATAAAAATCTATTAACAAGCCCTCTATGAAAGGAAAAGTCCTTACTCTAAACAAGATATCAGATGCCACCTTAGCTCAATGATATCTAGGGTTTTTTAACTATACTTTCATAGGTAATAAATGCCTTTTGAAAATTCTGCAGAAAGTGATTCAACTGGGAAAGCGTGTCACTGTGCCAAGGAAGTGGTGATGCAGAATGACAGGGTCCCTTGCACGGTTGAACTTTTCATTCATATGGAGTAAAGAAAGAAGGGTGAGACATACAGTAAATTGCAAATCATGATTAATGATTCTAAAGAACTAATGGCCTCTACAAAGAAAAACAGAGGTGCTTATACTTTTGGTAGTCAGGCCGTAATCTATGAGACTGTAACATTTAAATTGGGAACTGAAGCCTGCAGGGGAACTGGCCCTCCAAGAAGCCTGGCGTGTGTAGAAGTTCTGGGGCAGGTTTTAGAAGGTATGACTTATGAACTAGAAAACATCAGTGTGGTTGGAGTATGGTGTTTGAAGATAGTTGGGAACCCAAAAGGAGATAAGGTTTTCTTTTTAAAAGCTTGCTTTTCCAGCCATGTGAAGAAAGAGTTGTAGTCTGGGGGGGAGGGCAGGAGAGGAAGCAGGGTGTGAACCAGACCAGAAACTTTTGTGGTCTGGTCTTAAGGCAGTGGAGAAAGGGGGAGCCTAGGGAGTTTTGCATCGTAATTCAAAGGGAGAATCTGCAGATAAGCTGCTAGATGAGATGCGAAAGACAAAGGGAAGGAAACTGCAATCTCCGTTTTCTGGTTCTGGTGCTTGTGTGGAAGGAGGTGCCATTTACTGAAATGGAGAAGGCAGATTGGTAGTGGTAGGGCACATTTGAGGGAGAAACCGTAAGAGATCAAAGTCACATGTCAATATTGGTTGAGGAGTGAGTGGGATGTCAGAAGTAGACACAGCCCATGCAGACAGCTGTGGCTAGAAAGGGAAGGGAGCAGACAGATGGGCCAGTTTCTGAAAGAGGGATCCAGATGAGGCCATGGGGGCATGCTTCTGTTTTTAGGATGACGTTCTAGGATATAGTTAACTGCTGATCAGGATAATTAAGTGGAGAGTGAAGAGCAAGAGGTAGAAAAGAGAGAAGATAACCAATGGGTCCAGTTCTTTGAGGAGACGAGAAAGGGAATAGTGCCCAGAACACAAGTGGAAGTAGAAATGGCTTAAGTAAGGTAAGTTTAGTGTAGAGACTTGGCTTTCTTTCAGAGTGTTGTCTGTTGTCTGACATTTCCATGAAGAGCAAGTTTGGGTCAGAGACAGCCTGTAGGAAGTGATTCCTGGAATAGTGCTTGGGGCTTTGCACCAGCTCTGTATGGTATGTGAAAGTCTAACTTTCCAACTTCTAACCTCCTTTTTCCCTATGCTTGGATAATAAAAGGTGTCAAGGGAAAACTGAACTTGTTATAGCCAAATCAATTGCTTGAAATGTCCCTCCTACTTGTTTTCAAAAATGAGTTCATCTATCTCTTCCAGGTTGCCTTCCCTGACCTGCTAATTCTGTCCTATATTTGTGCTACATTTGTACCTGATATTTTTATTGTACTTATAAGTTACCACATACTTCCTGGTGTGAGACAACACAGATTTGTTGTTATGGTACAGTAGGTTAGAACTAACATGGTACTCACTGAACTAAAATCAAGGGGCTAAATCTCTGGGCTACAATCAGGGCTGCATTCCTTTCTGGATACTCTAGGGGAGAATTTGTTCTATGTCTTTTCCAGGCTTCTGGAGGCTGCCCTCATTCCTTGGCTTATAGCCCCTTCCTCTTTCATCAGAGGCAACAGCATAGAATTTGTGACGTTGCCTCTTTTCTCTTGTCCTTACATCTGTTTGTCTGACCCTCTCATCTGTTTTCCTTCTGCTTTGAAGGACTCTTGTGATTACATTGGACCCACCCAGATAACCTGGGATAATTTCCCCCATGTTTAAGTCAGCTGATAAACAACCTTAATTCTGCTATGCCTTGTAAACCTAACATGTTTATAGATTCCGTGGATTCACAGGTGGCATTATCCTACCTGCGCATATATGTAGTTTGTGCTGTTGTTGCTCTTTGTATTCCTAGCCCTGCATTGCCTGAAACATTGTATACACATGCACCCTCAAGAAATGAGCAGAAAATGTCTATTTATTAAATGTTTCCTTTCTTTCCTCTCCCCCCATCCCACACACCTTTTCTTAGTGACAGGTCAGTCTTACGAGAATATGGTAACCGAGATCATGTCAATGGGATATGAACGAGAGCAAGTAATTGCAGCCCTGAGAGCCAGTTTCAACAACCCTGACAGAGCAGTGGAGTATCTTTTAATGGTGAGAAATATTTCACTTCATTCATTCAACTTTAAGACTGAAAGCTCATATATTTTAAAGGAACAGTAACAGTTCTTAGAAAAATGGTAATACATGCTAATAATTTATATAATGCTTTTTTCTTAGTATGTTAACATTTTGTATTAAAAAGATGTAGTCTCTTCTAAAAGATTTTGATGTGATTTTTTAATTAGGAAACAACATGGCTAAATGAGTTATAAAATTGGCTATGCACTTAGAGCAGTACTTTCTACCCTATTCATGTCATAATGATAGGTTGTGTGTTTGGAGGGTGGAAATAGATTTTTTTTACTCTAATCTTCCATTTTAGTAGCTTTTTGACAGCATACTGCTGCGTATACTACTTAAGACAAAAATATCAAATTGGAAGCCCATGCCCAATTTTATTTGTCTTGTACTATGTACATTTTTGTAATTCATTGACCATCTTTTGAAAATTGAAAGATTTCACTTAATAAATTCAGATAGCTGGTTTGTCTGGACAACTTGGATACAGATTTTTGCAAGGGTTTAGATCTTATAGACTCTTTAATTCACTATATTCCCATCCATTCCCTATTACCTGACATAGCATTGTGCATTTAATGTAATGTAAAATGTTATGTTATTTGCTTGGTTCACTAGTATTTGAATTGTCAGCTTGTTTATTATAGTTAGTAGCAGTCAGGGGAATTTTGAATAAGTTATTTTACTAGCATAAAATTTTGGGAAATAGGTTACTGTGGACATGGTCTGAAACCTTTGGTATTTATGACAGTGAGTGTCTGTTAGTTTACAGATGTGGCATGGGCTAAAGTAATAGTATAGAATTTTGGAATAACATTTAATTGGCTTTTTAACAATCTGGGGCTCCTGGGTGGCTCAGTCAGTTAAGCGACCGACTCTTCATTTCAGCACAGGTCATGATCTCACGGTTTGTGAGTTCAAGCCCAGCATTGGGCTCTGCACTTACAGCGTTGAGCCTGCTTCAGATCCTCTGTCTCCCTCTCTCTGCCCCTCCCTACTTCCTTCTCTCTCTCTCTCTCAAAAATAAAAAAAATGAAAAAAATTTAAAGTCTTAACATTTTATTCCATAATTGTCTTCGGTGTTTTACAGTATTATCAAGTTCTGAGTTGCTTTAAATATTATCTTAGAAATCCAGAATCCTAACTCTTTGGAGAATATAGTCTACAGTTTAATCTATTCGTTTCCAGGTTGTACTTTTGTTAGAAACTCCATTTCAGACTGTAGTTTCAGGAGAGTCAAAGTCAAGAATGAGTAACTGTGCTGCCTCCACCAGTTATCTGCCTACTCATTTGCATGTGAGATTCACACAGCCTTTTCTTACTATATCATTTCCTCTTTTGAATTCTCTTTTCCATTGCCCTCTTGATGAAAGTCTTTGTAATTTAGGAATCATTTTGGATTGATAAGTATTGTGAGTCTGTTTGTGGTACCCCTCCCCCCAAAAACGAAACTCCATATTCTATTTAAGTATTACCTTTCCTTTTATGGAGTGACTTAAATCCACTCCTGTGTGGAATTCTGCATTAGTTTAATAGTAGCAGATATTTTAATCTAATAATAGATTTGAAGTTTTGAGGTATAAAAAATAGATCACTGTTTTCAAAGTTGCTACTACTTTTTAGCATAAAATGCAAATGAATAGATACAAGTTCATGAAACACTTTATATTTTTAAATATTTATGTTTTTTTGAGAGAGAAAGAGTGGAGGAGGGTCAGAGAGGGAGAGAGAATCCCAAGTAGGCTCAGCTTTCAGTGCAGAGCCCATTGTGGGACTTCAATCCCATAGACCTTAGATCATGACCTGAACTGAAATCAAGAGTTGGATGCTTAACTAACTGAGCCACCCAAGTGCCCCATTTCATGAAATAGTTTAAAGTGTTTTTGACAATTCGGTGTTCAATTCATAGACTGAAAAGGGCCACCTTTAACTGTCACTAGTTTTTGAGACTTCTATAGCAGTGATTAACTTTTTAGTTTAACAGACCTGTTTGAGAATTTGATGGAGGCTTTGGACCCTCATTCTGCATATAGTTTGAATTAATGGATTCTCCAAAATGTTTGTTTCTAATGCCTGGAGGGACAGCTAACACAGGCAGCCATTACCCTTAATGCTGTTCGTTTAGCTTATTTGTAGGTTTATGATCTTGACTTCCGATTTTTATTGGGAAATGGAAGAATTTACCATTACCATGTCTTACCTAAATGTAATAGTTCCTTCCTCATTCTCCTCCTTTCACAATCTGTGTGGATTTCATAAAGATTTTTAGTCTGTCTTATATGAAAAGTCTTATAAATCATGCATCACAATAGTGTTCCAAAAGTCTCAGTGCAGTTTTGTTTTTGTTTTTGTTTATGTTTTTTGTTTTGAAGCAGTGAGAGACAGAGCATGAGTGGGGGAGGAGCAGAGAGAGAGGGAGACACAGAATCTGAAACAGGCTCCAGGCTCTGAGCTGTCAGCACAGAACCCGATGTGGGGCTCGAACCCACAAACAGTGAGATCATGACCTGAGCCGAAGTCAGATGCTTCTCCGACTGAGCCACCCAGGCGCCCCTCAGTGCAGTTTTAAGTTATAACTTCAGAAGACGAGCAGTACAAACTTAGAAAAAGCATCACTTAAATGCTGAAATATTTAAGGTTTTTTGATAACTACCTCTGTGAATTTTGAATAATCCATTTTAATTTTTTGTATGTGATACTTTCAAATGACACTTTCTCAGAACCAGAACCATGGATCAATAGAGGAGACCCTTCATCCTCGGCTTCTCTTGCCACCTGCTCTATCTCCATTAGGTTTTTTCCCAGCAGTCATTTCAGAGCTGCACGTGCACGTCAAAACCTGCTTCTTTGGATAATTTTAAGGCTAGGTTTATAAGTGCAAACCTTTCTATCACTGAGCTGGTGAAAGTTTTCTATGAAGTTTGAAAATTAGGGTGATGTGTAGCATAAAAACCAAATGTGTCCAATTTTAATAAGATTTGTATTGATACTTTGGTTTTTTAATGGTGGCCTTTTAAAGCAGTACATTATTACCTAATATGCAAGTTTAGAATCTTTGGTGTTAGGTGTAACCTGTTTTGCTATATGTAAACATCATTTTGTGACTTCTGTTTTAAATTCCAAATCTCTACACCTTAGTAAAATAGCTATTAAGTGTAAGTAGCTATTTAAATTTAATAAAATTGAAAGTATATATATTAAAAAGTTAGTTTCTTTAGTAACGTTAGCCAGATTTCGAGTTCTCAGAAGTTACATGTGATTAATGAGTATCTTTTAAGTCTGTTTATATATTTTGAGAGAGAACATGCACATGAGTGTGGGAGAGGTTAGAGACAGAGGCAGAGCGAGAATCCCAAGCAGGTTCTATACTGTCAGCTCAGAGCCTGACATGGAGCTTTATCTCAAGAAATTTGAGATCATGACCTGAACTAAAATCAAGAGTCAGAAGCTTAATTGACTGAGCCACTTACGTGCCCTGTGATTCATGAGTATTTCATTGGACAGCGCAGAAAACATTCTCATCATTATGGAAAGTTCTGTTGGACAGTGCTGCCTTATAGCAGTATGGGTTCTGCTACACCACACTCAGGTCATTTATAATCTAACTCAGATATATAAAGCTTTCAGATAAGTCTTAATCCTTTACTATTATTTCTATTTTTTTTATTTATTGAGAGAGAGGACGACAAAAGGGGAGAGAGACAGAGAGAGAGAGAATCCCTAAGCAGGCTCCATGCTTAGCATGGAGCCTGATGTGGGGCCTCGATCTCACAACTATGAGATCACAACTTGAGCTGACATCAACTGAGCCACCCAGGTGCCCCATCCCTTTACTTGTGATCGAAGCAGACATCTGTTTGATGCTTCTGGAAATTAGACAAGCACGTTAAACAGATGAATAAATCTTTTACTTTGTGTAATATTTAATTTTGAATGACAGGATATTTTAAAGCTGGGAAATTGTATTATAGGGGATCCCTGGAGATAGAGAAAGTCAGGCTGTGGTCGACACCCCTCCAGCGGTTAGTACCGGGGCTCCTCAGTCTTCAGTGGCTGCTGCTGCGGCAACTACGACAGCGTCGACCACAACCGCAAGTCCTGGAGGTAAAGTGGGGTGTTTGGATGGGGAGGAAACGGTCCTGAATTTTTAGTATAAAATTAATCTGAAATACCTTTGGGGTGAGATTCTTTCCTGGAATATTTGGATAACTCTTCAAACAAGTTCTCTGTCCATTAATGTTAGAGAAGGGCCTAAAACAAATTCTTTCAAGCAGTTATTCAGTACATTCTTGCTGAAACATTAGCACTGTAGTTCTGGCAAAGGGCACATTCTGTTTAGCCTATGCCAAGGAAGAGATGGTTCCCAGTTTGCATTTTGTGTTACATTCTAGAGCTATTCAGAATGTTTGCTCACCATGTCTCTTCTCTCCCTGTAAATGTCAAAAGAATGTATAATTTCAAAACCAGTAGGAACTTACTGGTTATTCTACAGCCAGCGAAATAAAACACTGAGAGAATAGAAGACTTCTATCTAAAGGTGAAAGCCAAGCTTGAATTTAGCTCTCTTCACTGGCCAGCACCCACCCTTCATTGCCAAACGCGTGACTGCAGAGGAAAGTCTGGAGCCTGTGGTGGACCCAAGAGTTACTTTGTTCTCTTTTATTCTTCATTCTGTGTATAGTATAGATAAAGTAATTAAAACTGTTAATTTTGAAGAGGTCCTGCTTAGATGCTTCTTAGAGCTTTTAGCTTTGCGTAGGACAGTAAGCTCTGGTTGACAAAAAGCCCCCTGAACACTTTGTATGCAGGCTTCCAGAGGACAGGCTTTTCATTTCTGCAGAGCTGGCGGCATGCGAATGGAAAGAAGAGGCCCCAGCTTTGGTTCAGATTTGGGCTGCCGTCCCATTTAGCTGCACTTACTGGGTTCACTTCCTTTCTGAATCTCATTTTCTTCATTTGTAAAACCAGTGTCGCACAAAGAAGGAGCAATATTCATGTTATGTGGCCATTTTAATTTGGATGATTTTTTTTCAGTACTTTAGGAAATAATATCTAAAAAATTATTCATATTTCATCGATAATCTCAAAAACATATGCAGTTTGGGTTTCTTGTAATATAATCAGACAACCACCGCTACACCGGAAAGTTGCAGTTCTGTATTTTATTTGGTATCCTTAATATTTATTATTGCCATGGGATTTTGAACTAAAGAGTTCTAGATGTATTAGTACTAAGTGGTCTTACAACTTATTTATCTCAAGCTTCTATAGATTATAAATGTTTGAAGTTTAATGGTAATAACCAAAGTCGTCTTTATAATTTAAGTTTGTATTAAAAAAAACTTCTGATCTGCATATCTGAACACTTCTAAGCATTACGTTCTCTCTCTCTTATTTGGTTTAGAATTTTCCAGGAATTCAAGCATAGGTTGTTTTTTGGGGGTTTTTTTCCTTGAGGGTTTGGGTTGTATTTTAAAGTAAGCAGGTTTTTTGGTTTTGTTTGTCCGGGGTATGTATTTTTCTTAGGAACAATTTTAGTACTTTTTATTTTAATAGAGTACATCCAGGTCATAAATTCTCATTGTTTGATAATATCAAGTGCTCAGGACACTTGTGGGAAAATTTTGTTCTTTCAGTGTTCTATACTCTACCTATGCTAATAGGAGTAATTCCTGTAGTATAAGACTTGCAAGTTGGTGCAGTCCAAAGATCTTTTTTGTCATTATTTCCTTCTATACACATCTGAGAGCTCATCATATTTACTTGTCAGTGTTTGCTGTCTAAAATTATGATTGAATCAGCTCTTTGTATATGTGATTGCTACTTTGATTTAAAAACATTTGTGTATTTTAGGACATCCCCTTGAATTTTTACGGAATCAGCCTCAGTTTCAACAGATGAGACAAATTATTCAACAGAATCCTTCCCTGCTTCCAGCGTTGCTACAACAGATAGGTCGAGAAAACCCTCAGTTACTGCAGGTAACTGTTGAATCAGTTAATTTCAAAAGTGGGTTTATAGAGTATATCATATTTTCTAAAAGTCCATGAGAACTCCCTTCCCCTCCACATGCTCTAGAAACTGTTATTCTGAGCTGCCCTCAATAGAATATGCTATAGATCAGATATACTAATAAGAGAGTCTGGGGAGTGGGGGGGGTGGAGGTTGGGTTGATTTAAGTTGGTCAAATAGTAAGTTTGAAAACACTTTATTAAAGAATATGAGAAACTCTGTAGCAAAGAAACTTTTCATGAATCTTTTTTCCCAGACTTACTATTAGTGAAGTACTGTGTCTTAGAAACATACTTGTGGACTTAATGAATGCTCAAATCATGAAGTATTTGAGCTTCATGCAGCATTGTACTGCCTGCTAGTGTGGAAGATACATACATTCTGTTTCTTTTTATAGATCCCCCAAGCAATTTTTTAAAATTGATTTGGGGGGAACAGGAATTTGAACTCTTTTAATTCCCGAGTTTCTTTAATAATATATAAGAAATCACATCCTTCCAAGGATTATGTAATCCAAAATCATTCTAAAATATGGCAGTTGTACAGTACTAGCTCTCTCTTTTACTTGTATTTAGAATTCTTAGTTTCCTGAAGATACTTCTATCATTGTATTGTTTTTTTTCTGTCCTTCAAATCACCACAGCAAATTAGCCAACACCAGGAGCATTTTATTCAGATGTTAAATGAACCAGTCCAGGAAGCTGGCGGGCAAGGAGGAGGGGGCGGAGGCGGCAGTGGAGGGATTGCGGAAGCTGGAAGTGGTCACATGAACTACATTCAAGTGACGCCTCAGGAAAAAGAAGCTATAGAAAGGGTGAGTTGAAGTAAAACTAAAAATTGAGTTCCTTAGTCACACTAGCCACATTTCAGATGCTCAGAAGTCACATGGAGCTAGAGGCTCCTTCATTGGATTGCACAGGTATAGATTATTTCTGCCGCCAGAGGTAGTTCTGTTGGACAGAGCCAAAAAGAGCATTGTCTGAAGGATTGCAGTAAAGACTGTGTATTTTTGTCCCTGCTCTTGCATCTTGTCCTTTGTGAAGCCAAGGGACTAGAAGTGAATACTACTCTAACTTTCTAAAATAGTTACAAATACAGTAAGAAATTAAAGATTTCATTTATGTCTTAACATTCATGAAGACAGTGATCTTATTAAATTGTATGCTTAATGCAAGATTATCCATTTTTTATATTCTAAATTTTACTTCACTACTGCCCCAAAATATAAAAGAGATATGTATATGAATTCTGTATAAAAAACATGTACATTAAACATCAGCACCTGATACTGTTTTTCTGTTTCCATCCTTCATGGGTCAGCCAGTTCACGTTGAGGTACTGCATATAACTTAGTTTATATGATACATTGACAAGTCATTCAGTTTTCTCTGGGCTCCATGGTTAACATTTGTAAATAGGGACACAGTACCTGCCCTGTCCTATTTTACAAAATGTTTTGAGATGGATCTGATAAAGTACATTTTAACTTAATACTTAGAAAAATCATCTGGGAGATAATTTGTCCATATTTATGATAAAAATATATAAAGTGTTCAAGGTTTATAACTATATGTTTCTTAAAAGATACTTTATATATCATGCTTATGTTTTCCTCCATCAATTAACATAAGTGAGTGAATGACACTTGCGTCAGTTGTTCAGTATCAATTTTTTTTTTTTAATAGTTAGGGTTAGTTATCAGTTCTTCTTCATTTCTGTTTTGGAGAAGGAATGTTTTCTTTTGTTGCCTGTGCTTTTGGTGTTATACTAAGAGAAGTTGCCTAACCTAAGGTCAAAAGATTTACTCCTATCTTTTCTTTGAAGAGTTGTACAGCTCTTATTTTATTTAGATGTGTGATTTATTTTGAGTTACTTTTTGTTTATAGTGTGAGGTGTAGGAGTCTGGATTTTTATTTTTCTTTTGGCATGTGGATATCCATTTGCCTCTGTACCATTTACTGAAAATTCCACTCTTCTCCATTGGATTGTCTTGGTGTCCTTGTTGAAAATCAACTGCCCATCATTGTGAGGGTTTACTGGGCTTTCATTTCTGTTCCATTAATTTTTATGTTTGTCCTTATGCCAGTACCTCACAGTTTTGATTACTGTGACTTTTTTTTTTTTTTTTTTGGTAGTAAGTTTTGAAATCTGTTTTTTCCTTTCTCAAGGTTGTTTTGGCTCCTCTGGATCCCTTGCATTCTGTATGAATTTTAGGATCAGCTTGTCTGATTTCTGTAAGAAAAGTGAAAAAAATAAAAAAACAAAACAGGCTAAGGTTTGATAACTTTTTTCTGCAGATCAGTTTGGAGAGTACTCATTTATTGTGTTTCTTGAGGTTCCTATTTACAGAATATTATTTGCACATAGGCATAGTTTTACTTCTTTTCCAGTATGGATGCTCTTTATTTCTTTTTCTTTCTTACTGTATGTGTGTGTGTGTGTGTGTGTGTGTGTGTGTGTGTGCGCGCGCGTGCATGTGCCTAAATGCCCTATCTGTAGCTTCCTGTGTGTTGTTGAATAGAAGCGTTGAGAGCGAACATCTTTGTCTTGTTCCTGGTCTTAGGAGAAGGTATCGGTCTTTACCCATTAAGTATGACGTTAGTTATGGGTTTTATTAGATTCCTTATTTATCGGGTTGAGGAAGTTCCTTTCTATTCTAGTTAATATTGAGTGTTTTTATCGCAAAAGGATTATTGGATTTTGTCAGATGGCTTTTATGTATTTATTGCGATGATCATGTAATTTTATTCCTTTTCTATTAGTATGCTTTAATACAGTGATTGACTTTTGTATGTTGGACCAACCTTGCATTCCTAGGATAACTCCCACTGGTCATACTGTATAATCTTTATTATATTTTGGTCTGATAGTGTTTTGGAAGGAATATCGGTCTGTAGTTTTCTGTGTATGTGATGATTTTGTGGAGTTAGGTGTCAGAGTAATACTGGCCTTAGAAAAATAAGGAAGTATTCCCTTTTTCTGTTGGTCGGAAGAGCTTATGAAGAATCCGTGTTAATTCATTCAATGGTTGGTAGACTTCACCAGTAAAATTATCTGGGCCTGGCTTTTCTTTTTGGGAAATTTTATTATGATTACTAATTTAATCTCTTTGTTATAGGGCTATTCAGATTTTCTGTTTCTTGAGTCAATTTTGGTGGTTTTTGTCTTTCTAGGAATTTGTGTGTTTCATCAGAGTTCTCTAATTTGTTGGCATAGAATTGTTCACAGTATTTTCCTTTGGTAGTTTTTATTTCTATAAAAAGTAGTAATGTTCCCACATCCCTGATTTTTATAGTAATTTAAATCCTCAGATTTCTCGTTTTCCCTGTTTAGCTAAAACATTTGTCAATGTTGTTAATCGGAAGAAAACAAGAGCCAACTTCTGGTTTTGTCGATTCTATTTTTCTAGTCTCTACTTTCTCTCTGATCTTTATTATTTTTCTCCTTCTGCTTGCTTTGGATTTAATTTTCTCTTCCTCTTTTCTAGTTTCTTAAGGTAGAATCTTAGGTATCTATTTTAGAGCTTTCTGAATATAAATAGCTACAGCTATAAACTTCCGTCTAGGCACCGCTTCAGCAGCATCCCATAAGTTTCAGTGCGTTTGGGGCTGTTTTCATCCATCAGAGTATTTTCTGACTTTCTTTGTGGTTGCTTCTCTGATCTGTTGGTTAAAGATTAGGTTAATTTCCACATATTTTGAACTTCCTAAATTTCTTTCTGTTACTAATTTCAATAATCATGCTATTGTGGTCAAAGAATGTACTGTGTACAATTTTAATCTTATTAAATGTATTGAGGCTAGTTTTATGGCCTAACATGGTCTTTATGGAGACTGTTTAACATATACTTAGAAAGGACATGCAGTCTTCTGTTGTAAAGTATTCCGTAAATGTCTGTTAGTCTATTTGGTTTATAATGTTCACATCTGTTTCTTTGTCAGTCTTCTGCCTTGCCTGGTTGTTGTGTCCAGCATTGAACATGGAGATATTGACATGTTCAGCTATTCTTGAATCATTTGTCCCTTCAGTTCTGTCAGTTTTGTTTCCTGTCTCTTGGGGCTCTATTGTTACATGTATTTATAACCAAAGTATTCCTGTGTTTATCATCATATAATGTCTTTGTTTTTAGTAACAGTTTTCAGTGTTAATGTGTATTTTGTCTGATATTAATAGAATCACTCCAGCTCTTCTTTTGTAACTGTTTGTATAGTGTATATCTTTTTCCATCCTTTTACGTTCAGCATATTTGTGTCTTTGAATTTATAGTGTGTATCTTGTAGAAGCACATAGTGGGGATCGTGCCCTATCTTCTACTTAAGCTAGTAAAGTTTTAATCTGGACAAGAACTGAGTACAAAATCTGTTTTCAGTTTTTTCTTCTCCTTTCATGGATGAATAGTTAATCATGCTGAATTGAGACTTTTTTTTTAACATTTATTCATTTTTGAGAGACACAGTGAGCAGGGGAAGAGCAGAGAGAGGGAGACACAGAATGTGAAGCAGGCTCCAGGCTCCGAGTTTTCAGCACAGAGCCCAACAGGGGCTAGAAAACCCACAAACCGCAAGATCATGATCTGAGCTGAAGTCAGATACTTAACCGACTGAGTCACCCAGGTGCCCCTCTTTTTTTTTTTTTTTTTTAATGAAAGGCGATTTAGATGATTGAGGAGAGGGTTCATAAAAAATATTTGGCTGACATATAGTCTCAGGTGAGTTAGATAATTGATTATTAAGTCACAAGTGATTTTTTAATAGACTAGGAAAATAAAATTAAGTGGCTGGTATCACCATTTAAAATGCTAGAAAATTTAAGCACATATAAATAGAACACCATATGTCTTGATCTCAAAGTATATCCTATAATACTGATCACCTGTTTTTTTAGTATGAAGTATTTGGTATGCCAAGGAGATCAAGAGTGATAGTGAAGGACATGACCTTCTTTACAAATAATGAAGTAAGCTCCTATCCAGTTGCTTTCATCTGTATCTTTACCCTTTATATACTCAAAGCTAATTTATAAATTTCTATAGGGTCATTTATTTTTAAGCCATCACAGGTAGCAACTAATTTTTAAGATTAATGCTGGTGAGTGTTCGCAAAGTATCTGTTCGTATAATAGCTTTAACAAGAAAGAGACTTTTTGTTGATAAAGGGTCTAAGTTCCATCTAGCTGCTTGGGTTGGATGGTGAATCCATACTCAGGCATGCGTTCATGTAACATTTTTAAGAGCTTTTTTGTGTCTTTCATATTTTTAGGTCATGATCTGTCAGTACTGCTGTGCTGGAACCTATGTTTTCTCTCTTTTCTTACAGTTAAAGGCACTAGGATTTCCTGAAGGACTTGTGATACAAGCATATTTTGCTTGTGAGAAGAATGAGAACTTGGCTGCCAATTTTCTTCTACAGCAAAACTTTGATGAAGATTGAAAGGGACTTTTTTTTATCTCACACTTCACACCAGTGCATTACACTAACTTTGTTCACTGGATTGTCTGGGATGACTTGGGCTCATATCCACAATACTTGGTATAAGGTAGTAGATTGTTGGGGGTGGGGAGGGAGGGATCTAGGATACAGGGCAGGGATAAATACAGTGCATGTCTGCTTCAAGTAGCAGATGCCGCAAATCCACACAGTGTGTAAAATATTATACAACCAAAAATCAGCTTTTGCAGGTCTTTATTTCTTCTATAAAACAGTAGGTAACTTTTCCTAGGTTTCACTCTTTCTAGTGTACTAGATCCAGAAATTTAGTGTAATGCCCTGCTTTATATTTCTTTGACTTAACATTGGTTTCAGAAAGAATCTTTGCTACCTAGAATTTACAGTCTCTATTTCATGGCAACACTGGATAATGGCTTTGTGAAATTGAAAAAATTTTGGAGCAATTGTAAACAGAAATGCCAAATTATTGATGGTTATTGTTGCTGCTTCAAATACATATTGAATTAATGTGTAAGAAAGCCCATTCTTTCATGTTAAATACTTGGGGGTAGGGAGGGGAGAAAGGGGAGCCTTTTCTTAAAATGAAAATAATTACTGCTATTTTAAAATTTCTTGATCATCGAATGTGAGACCCTTCTAACATGATTTGAGAAGCTGTATAGGCAGTTATTTTCCTGTTTACATTTTTTTTTTTTTTTTTTTGGTTTGGTTTGGGGAAAAAATTGGTAGGTGTCTAATTACTGTTTACTTCATTGTTATATTGCAGTAAAAGTTTTAAAACCACCATTGCATGTTTGCTTTTGATGTATCCCTTTGTGAAATTAGCACTTTGGGGCCAATGGAGAAATGCAGCATTCACTTTCCCTCTCTTCCCCATCCCTCTGCAGAGATGTGTTTGTCAATAAGTCGTGAGTTCAAATTGCTGCCTTTTTTTAAACCCACAAAATGCTGATTCAGTTGAAAATTAGCTAATGTTTCAAAACTGGGTTTCTGATATTTGTAAGTGTTTTTCCTTATTAGATAAGAATATATGACCATTAAAGTCATTAGGATTCTATTACTTTCAAAAAAGGTGGATAAAAGTATAAATCCAGCATCTTTTATTGCATTGGAAAGACTGGCATAATCTTTTGGAAGGGTTGGGAGATGCAGCTGGAAAAGTACTTTGGAAAATATACAATCAAGAATATCTCATGGCATATTAAAAGAAAATCTTAATAGCAGTGTTGGCTTTTATTTGGATTTTTTTCAGCTCTTTTTTTTATTAGACTCTTCTACATTGGCATATTACTGGATCATAAAGAGGGGGAAAGTATCTACTTGTTTTGTTTTTCAAATCTTTTTCTCCTGAATATAAACAAGACTGTTTAAAGAAATAATTTTTTTCCCCTACCATCTGATACTGAGTACAGAAAATGAATTTGCACAGATTTCTCCCTGCATAATCGCTTGCAATAATCCTTAGCAAAGTTTGGAGGGGACTTTGAAGCTTTGACGTCATGCACTCACACCTGTCTCTTATGAAAATAAATGAAGCCATGACTTCTCCCCACAGTGTTATGTAGTTTCATCTCCATGCTTATACCTTCAATCCAGCAGACCTTTGGACTTTGTACTGCCTGTATGTTTTATAATGGATATACAAAATGTCTCAGGAGAATAAAATGAGGATTTGTAAATATGTTCATCATTTAAGGCAGAGCATTGAGTTGGGAAGAGGGTGGCATTTCTGGTTGGATAATGGAATATTTTCATTTATTTTGTCATTCTGTCTGCTACCTAATTGCTCAGCATAGCGAAAACTGGAAAAAAGAAAAGCAAAACAAAGAAAACAAATCCCCAGCAGCATCTTCTTTTCTCTGGAAAGTGACAGCAGAAGTTGGTGGCACGGAGTTTCTGTCCTTGGACAGCAAGACCACAAATAAGTGGGATTAATAACACAAGAAGACAGTTCAGGCCAAGTTTTGACCATTCTTTACAGTACCTTGTTTTATCTGCTTAAAGAATTGGCTAAGATGCTGTGAAAGAACTAGGCTTTCTGTGACCTTTTGCTGTTACCTTTTAATTTACAGTTCTGGTGAATCTCTTAATGTTAAGTGGCTCTTTGACTTTGGAATTTTGCATTTGAGGTATTCTGTCATCTATTTCTTGAAATATTTTTATTGTTTAGTTGCTCTATGGAAATGTGAGGAAGTGTAAGTTTATATTTGTTAAAATTCTTATTGCCATCCTTGAGTCAAATAATGTCTTTTACATTGTTTAAAAATACTGAAGTGTTCCACCATATAATTTTTCCTGTACCTTGACTAGGATTCTAGAGAATTAATTATAAAATATTTTCAATACATACACCATTGCATTTCTCATTTTTTAAAATAATTTTGCCATACAGAATCTTAAAAACGTTAGATTGAAAGTTGACAATGCCCCTGTCACTGTTTTCTTTAGTAATTGGTGAATATTACATGAAGGGGCCAGGTACTAGTTTCATTTTCTTGGGTCTCCTGTTTTTCTCAACTAAAACATCAACACAAAGATGGGATACTTGATGGGCCTTAAATCAAGTTCATGATGGCTTTTAGAAATTTTAGTTAAATTCCCATTTTTCCAGGGCACCTAGGTGGCTTATTCAGTTAAAGTGTCCAACTGTTGATTTCAGCTCAGGTCATTATCTCACAGTTTGTGGGATCAAGGCTTGCATCAGGCTCTGTGTTGACAGTGTGGAGACTGCTTAAGATATATATTCTCTCTCTTCTCTCTCTCTCTCTCTCTCTCTCTCCCCCCTCTCCCCCCCCCGCTTGTGTATACATGCCACTCTCTCACAAAAATAAGTTTTAAAAAAAGAAAAGTAAAATCCCATTTTCCCCATGCTCTTGTCTGAGCAGCCAGCCTCAAACTGCTACAAAATATTCAACCAAAATTAAACAATTTCAGGGAGTAAGTACTTCCTGACCAAGTCCATTCCGGTCAGTTCCCTGGCTATGAGGCTTAGCTACAACATACCATTTTAGTTGATTTCCCATATCCATTTTGTTCCACTTAGTTCTTCTAAGCCAGGGGCTGGCAAACTGTAGTCCTAAGAGGTAGGATTTTCTTTCTTTTTTAAAGATTTGTGGTGTAAAAATTATTCAAATTTTAGTGTTTATAAATAGCTTTATTGAAACATAACCATGCTCATTTGTTTACATAGTGCCTGTGGCTACTTTGGTGCTACAGAGGTTTGCTGTTGAATAGCTGGAACTGAGACTAAGGCCTGCAAAAGCCTAAATAATTACTGTCTGGCCCTTTCCAGAGCAAGTTGGCCATCACTGTTCTAAACTGTGATTGGGCCCAGCGTACGTTAACGTATGTGATGCCTCCTATTGCTTTTTTGACATTCTTGTCTTACTGACTTTTGGTCTTATCTTCAGTTTGGTTTGCTTGTGACTATGAAAGGTCCTTTCCAGAGTAGTAGTCTCAAGCATTGTGTGCCTCATGTGCTAGCCTAACCTGTACGTGGTGTCTTAGGGCACCACTCTGAAATAACTCTTTGCTCTTGCTGTGCTATTCCTTGCTCTTACGTCAGATAATGAAATTCAGCACACAGTTGGAAGCTGGACCTGGCATAGCGATGCATCCACCAGAACAAAGAAGTGCGCTGTGTGCATCTGGGAATGCTTAGGCCCTAGGATCAGACAACTGGAGGAAGCACCTGACCACAGCTGGAAGAAGAGAGTGGGTGGAACCCCAGACGGGGGAGTGTAGCCATTGGACCTATTTGGGTGGCAAACTAGTACCAGAACAGAGTGCAGGGAGTTTGGGAATGGGGGGCAGGGGGCGGGCAGTGACAAGGAAGGAGCGTGAAGGTCTGGGCTTGCCAGGAGAAAGACCCAGCATTGCAGTGGTGATGAGGACACCACAGGGACAATGGTGCTGACAAGTTGGCCGTAAAAAGCCTTCTCTAGTATGATGTTTGATTGCAAAAGCAGTGGTCCCTCAGGTAGAGCTTTCACTGGAGAGGAGGCTGAGACAACCAAAGAAGCATCAGTGGTGACAACTTGAAAGAAGATCTCTGCCGTTGAGTTTGAACTACTGTGACAGAACATCTGAGTAGTAATGGATCCTTCACCAGGTATCGCGTGCATGACTTGTCTTCCAGGAGCACAGAAAACAGCCATCCGAGACTCTCAGCTCATGTCTCTGAAACTTGGCTTTCCGCTCTTCATGACATACGCCCTCGGCTTTTCCCAGCTGGTTAGGCGGGAGTTACTGATAAAAGAGGTCGTGATCTTCCCAAGGCAGTGAAGTGGTCAGAGCAGCTGGGGGAGCTGTTCTCAACACTGGCCTCCTCAAGCAACTTCATCTCGACCCCCGGTTTTGGGACAGCTGTTAGATTTGCTGTGCTGAGCACGCTGGGAGTGCTGTGTCCCACGCCTGCACTGGCTTTCTAGGTGGGCCTGCCGCGTGGAAGCACGTGGCTCCGTGGCTGCCTACTACTGCCTGTGCAACTGACAGCCTCTCTAACACTGCAGAGCTGCCTCACAACTCCTAGAAGTCCAGCGGTAAGTTTTAGAAGCCAGTCTGGGTTTATTTGCCTGCAATTACAGATCAGAACACTTGATAAACTACTCAAAGGCATTGGTTAGAAACCGGATGAGAATGAATGGGGTTGGTGCTGCTATGCCTTGGAACAGCTGAACACGTCTATGTACTCTGGGTGATTTTTGCAACTTTTTAGCATGTTAGTCCTTTAGGGTTTTTTTGGGTTTTGGGGGCGGGGGCAGGGCTGGAGTTTTAAATTTATTTTTGGCCAGTTAGGCCTGGTTTGACAGCAGTTTGACTAATTTTTATTTTGTTTCCATTCCTAAGGAAATTTTAAAAAGTTTGATAGTTTCACTAATTATTTGATTGTAAATTTTTTCTTTTTTTAAGAGAGCTGGGAAGAAAGGGAGAGAGAATCTTAAACAGGCTCCATGGTCAGTGCAGAGCCTGATGAAGGGCTCGATCCCACAACCCCAAGATCTACCTGAGCCAAAATCAAGAGTCAGACGCCCAACCTACTGAGCCACTCAGGCACTCCGTAAAATATCTTCATTAACTTTGGTTATACCGTGCTTACATGTTTGCATTTTGCTAAGAGCATTAACAGCTTTTCACCCCTAAACAATTTCAGACTTAGAGAAAAGTTACAGGGATAGTACACATTTACCACCAGCAGCACCATCCCACCCCAAACCCATTTCAGTTGTGTAGTTGTTCCAGTTAATGTCCTCATAGCAAAGGGACCTGATTAATACAGGGTGACACACCATGTTTATAGCTTGCTTCAGTCCATATTCCTCAGTCCGTCCTGAGTCTTGATGACCTTAACAGTTTTGTTACTGTTCTAAGATTGTAGGACTGTTGCCTTCTAGAATGGCCCTCCATTTATGTTTGGTGTTTCCTCATGACTAGACTCCAGTTACGGTGGGTTTAGAAGAATGACAGAAGTGCCACTGTGCATCCCGTGAGGGGGGCCAGGGCGTCCATTTGGCCCACTGCTGGCTCACTCTGTCCAAGGAACGTGGTGCCTGCCAGGCTTCTCCGCTGAACAACTACTCTGTTCAAACAGCTACTTTGCATTTAGTAAGCGTTATATAAGCTATTTTGAGACAGAATATCCTATTTCTCATGAAAGTTTGGCCCATTTGTTTTAGTATCCACTGATGTTTCTTGCCTGAGTTAGTAGCACTAAGATAGTTGCCAAGTGGTGATTTTCAAGTTGCATAATCTCTTCTGCGTTTATTAGCAGTCTCCTGTATTCTGGTGTTCACTTTCCCCTGCGTCCGTGTGGGCTCAGATTCCCGTTTTACTTAGTGGTGTGCAGTCCATCACTGCTGCAGCTTTGATGCGCACGTTGTCCTGGGTTCTGCTGTTGTGTGCATTCTGGCATCTGTGTTTCTTCCTGCTCTTCCTGACTTCCCGGCACAATAGTGTATCCAGGCTCTTGTACTTGCTGTGCCCCCAGGCGCCTCTTCAAGCTCTGGTTCCCTTCCGCAGAGACTTTAGAAACCACCTCAGTGCTAGGTATGCTCTCTGCACCTGGAGTCTCACTGCTCCATCTTTATATAAATACTGTTGAGTGCACACCGGTGCCTCTCGTTCTGGTCCATCACTACTGCGCTCGTCCCAGCTTCTCGCTGCCCAGGCTTCTGACACCTTTCTTGGACAATGAGAAACTTGGCTGCCATTAATGCTCCAGGTG